TTTCTGCAATATACTCTTAACATTTTCATCATTAAGTTGAACTCTGAGGGGTTTTCTTGCTTCGGCTTTCATTTGTCCAGTCAGACGCAGACAAATACGTGCTCCAACTAGAGCATGATTTCAATCTAAACGTATTGTCCGGAATGAGTGGCACTCTTCCATTGAGTCTCTTCAATGAGAGATGATGTCAATATGGTCTATTTGAATCTACCGTTGAGTTTGTTGTGAGTGATGCCCGCTTGAAATAAACGAGTATCTGAGCATAGTTGCAACAGATGGCTGCCATTATCTGTTCGCTAAGCTGCGATACCTAAGTGCATTTCTCTTTGGATGGAAATCCGTACGGTTAGTGTGAAGTGTGACTTTTTTTGTATCGACCTTTTATAACCGTTTCCTTCCGTTGTTAGTAGGCAGCATCGCTTTCAGTGCTGGTTTTTTGAGGTAAACATATTACTGCTGTCACACTCCTCTGCAGTCAGAAGCACAAAATTTTCCTCAAGCATTAAGTTACTGCTTTTATTCTCACCCTTCCTCATTTCACGTCGCTTGGTAGTATTAATATCCATAAAACAAAATATGTGACTCATGAGTGATATCATGAACCTGTGCTTGTATTTAAACAAAGTTTATCAGATTCATTCAGATCCATCTTAATGAACGTTTGGTAGCTGTTTCATTTTTTGACAGCTTGTCATGTATGCGTTTCCATAAACACTTTGACTCAATAATCTAAGCTACTAATGCATTCTTTAATTTCATTTAAGAAATAGGGGGATAAGGTATATTATTAGCAAAGATCGGCATAAAAGTGTATTTCAATCCATAGTACTGGTAAATATTTAAAATAGATGCATGTATTTAGTTGATTGCTTGAGTCGGACGTCTCATTTGTACGAAAGCTCATCTAGAGGAAGTCTGAATATATGACATGGTTACTTAGCAAAAGAATCAAAATAATTATAGTATCAGTGATAGTGAGAATATGATGCGAAAAATAGATAAAAAGGTATGTATGAAGGAACACGAACCCGAAATCTAAAAAATGATGAACAGTGTAATCATTTATTTAACTAGCTGGTTCTGAGTTATGTTACTCAATATCTATCACCGGCTGCACTCGTGTGGACTCCAACCAGGTAGTCTTCATGTACCATTAAAACTCAGCTCAACAGTTGGGTATTTCATGGATTGATGCCACGTTTCCGTTTTATCTCTTGGGTTTTTTTTCTAACTGTTATTTCAGCCAGTGCATCATATAAAAAAGCTGTTTTATCAATGTATTTCTAAGCAGCCATCTCATCCAGTAAAATCACAACATAACATCCATTAAATACAAGAACAAATTGGTGATATTCTACAGTATATTATCATTATTTACCAACATTCGTCATTTATAAGCATCGTTGAGTCGCTAAAGGAAACAGTGGATTTTGTGTCAGTAATTTATCAGAAACCTATTTAGAATTGCTCATTAGGAATTTGTAACTTGAGTCTGAAAAATAATTATGTTTACAGACTAATGGAGTAACAGTCGGAAACTTACTGAAACCACATCCTAAAAGGATTTAGAAAGTTCCAACCAGTTCTCATTATATAACTGGCACATCGATTTTATATTTGTTACGTGTTAATGGCAATTACACGGGGATTGGTTATAGTTATCAGCATAGTACATTTTATGTGGAATTTAATGTAGAAACATATCTGATCCTTTTTATTTTGGTCTTCGACAAGAGCAACTCTTCACTTTACGGCAAAAGTATTCAAACTTGAATAGGTTTTATCGTATGAGTCAAAGTCAGTGTTCAGTCAAAACACTGATTTGCTGAACCAAGTGACTGCTTTGCGGAATGATGTATACATTTGTTTTAATGTAGAAATGTTTATATTCGTTCATTGTCAAAACAGTCTTCGTTTCTATCCCATTTTAGCGGAAATTAGACTATAGACAGACCGAACCAATTAGTAATCCAGCTCCCCAATTGCTATCGTATCCAAGATACAAGAACCACTACATTAATCACAAGTGGTATGATTAGTTCATCCCATATCTAGTTCTGTCTATTTATTCACATGTACCTCCTGAACTACGTTCATTAAAAAGACAGGGGAAATGTTGCTCGATTTCGTGAATGTATCATACGGAAACTGTCCATTGCAATACTGATCTCGTTTATAAATCATGTCTAAAGTCACTAAGCTAGAACATATACCTATTTATCGGTTAAAATAATTAAACGTTTCGCTACTAATTGTCTACGTTAACAAATCAAGCTTTAATCTATCTGTGATATATACGTTTTGAATATACTGTGCTGTTAGTATGTTATATGGTTAAATGTGTTGTCTTTTCATTCACGTCCTAGCTATGCATCCAGTCAATTATCAAGAACCGAAATACTGGTGTTCGATTGTTTATTATGAACTAAATAATCGTGTCGGTGAAGCATTTAACGCTTCACAATTAAGCATAATCATTGATGGCTTTACAGACCCATCAAATAATTCAGATCGTTTTTGTCTTGGTCTTTTGTCGAACGTAAACCGAAATTCTACAATCGAGAATACAAGACGTCATATTGGAAAAGGTTATTATTTATTTAGAGTTTTTCTTTTCTATTTATGTTGAAATCTTTATTTATCTAACATTAATGGTATGACATCTGAGTAATTAATGGTTGTTCAACTCCATTATATATTAGCCTTAAAACAGCCAAATAGCCATATTTTGTTTGTTTCTTGTCCACGAATAATCATTTGGCTCGTTCGTCTATAATAACTAACCACTTCATTCATTTATCACCAACCTATCCACTTTCTATGGTGCTTTAAAGTAGCAATTAATGGTTTTTATCTTACTCTAGAGTTGCTCGTTTTCTTCCAAATATAATACGTGAATTTTGCCATAGATTTACTGTTTCTGTAAAATGAAGGCAAACACTTAAATGACTAGGTTCAGTTTCTGCTGATACTACATTATTTGTATTATCATCCGTTCATTTTCTGAAACACGATGTTGAAAACAGGAAGTGATTGTTCATCTTAACTAGGAATTTAATCATATATATATATATATATATATATATATATATATATATATATATATAGAGAGAGAGAGAGAGAGAGAGAGAGTATTTATTTAACAATGCACCTACCTAATGGTGTTTCTTGATCATTATCAACATATATATGGCCCCAGTTTGTTGGAAAATCTCCCATACTGTTACGATTGTTGTTTTTATTTTGACGAAGATAATGTCTTAATATGGAGCCAACCATTCATTATCTTCTGTGTGACAATCAGTAATTTTTTATTCTCTTCCACCCACCGAAACTCGAAATATTTTAGTTAGATTCTTTTATCTGTTTGGTTCATCATTAATTATTTATCATTCAGCTGTGTTCTTTATTAAGTCATTTAAAATTGGATATTAGAACTTAGGTAAAAGTGATTGTTGTTCAAAATAACGTATTTACTTTCTGAATCAGTCAGAAGTTTAATTAATCTTTAAGCGATAAATAGATGTCTAGATTAAAATGTACACACTTTATGCTGGTTTTGTAGATCTAACAAAACTTCTACACAACAAACTGTCTCATACCCATATTAAACATTGTATATATGAGTAAGTTTGTGCAAGAACCTTTACTTTAGAAGAGAAGAATCAAAAAATTAATATTGGACTTTAAGAATCTCGAACTTGTATCATAGTACACACATTAGACTGAACCAATCATTCATACCACGTTTGTCATTTCACCATAGTCTGTTTTTTGTTCTATTTTCTCGTATAGGCGTTCATCTTTATTATGTTGGTGGTGAAGTTTACGCTGAATGTTTATCAGATAGTAGTATATTTGTACAATCGCGTAATTGTAATTATCATCATAATTTTCATCCAACTACAGTGTGTAAAATTCCACCTGGTTGTTCATTGAAAATATTCTCAAATCAAGAATTTGCTCATCTACTCAGTCGTACAGTACATCATGGTTTTGAAGCTGTTTATGAATTAACTAAAATGTGTACAATACGTATGAGTTTTGTAAAAGGTTGGGGTGCTGAATATCATCGACAAGATGTTACATCTACTCCATGTTGGGTTGAAATCCATTTGAATGGTCCATTGCAATGGCTCGATCGTGTACTTACACAAATGGGTACACCAAGAAATCCGATTTCATCGGTTTCATAAATCTCATATTGTTAAACACTTTATCGTTCTCTTAATGGATATTGATTCTGGGACAAAAGGTGAATAACATATGATGTATACATGTCTAGGATTCCCATAGGAAAAGAATACATTGTTCTTCTTTCTTATTTTATTTCTGCATTAAGATCATAAATAGCCTCACTTATACTATCAGTATTAACAAATCATCATTACAATCTAAAATTCATTTCATAAGATAGAGCTTCTTATCAACATGAAGCACACGAGAAGAACATGAAAATAATGAGTAAAATAACTGCGCCATTCTCGTTTCTACTATTTATTTGTATTTCTGCATATATCTTCTTACTATTTACAATAGTTATTGATATTTTGTGTGTGTTCGTACAGCGCCTCCTGAAAATGCTAATCACATTGTTATGTTTATTGTTAATCATTGGGGTCTTTCTCTTTTCTTCATCGTTCCTTTTGTCGTTATTGTTTTCATTGTTGTGTGAACATTTCAAGTCTACTTTTTCAATTATTATCTTGATGTAGGTAGACGACAGTGTGAAGTGTTTTGAAATCACTGTAATATAAAACATAACTGTCGCATTTTTGTATTATTTTCACGCTCATCTCTGGAGGTATATATATATATATATATATATATATATATATATATATATATACGTGCCTTAACTTTTTTTATTAACATTAGACTGACTGCATATATGCGTTTTTTTTAAAAAAAACTTCATATGTATATATTAACATTCAAGTAAATCTTTTGTTCTTCGAATATGTCACATAGTGCTTTGAATTTCATCAGTTTTTTCTCTGCATTTATTTATCATATCATTTTAATAATTAAGTACAGGAAGTAGTAAATTTTATCACGATCCAGTTGTGCAATTTTTATCTATAATGTTGTCCTTTATTCGGAGGAACTTTCCACTCGTAATTGATTTTAATATGAAAATCTTAATAAGTGACTAATTTATTTACTAATCTGTTCCCAGTGTCTATATCATTTTTGTTTCATTGTATTGTAGGTAACATTCGATTTAAAAATGAATAAAATTAATCATCAGTAAATATCTACTACTTTTTCATTCAAAGACTTGATAATACTTAATAATTATATAACGAGCGCCTTTTGTTTTATTAATCAGTCAAATAGATGTACTATTTTCTACATTTATCTCATAAAATCTTTTTCTTACTTTGTCCCTCTTATATTGTTTTCTTTTTTTAATTATGGCAGCTTCGTTATGAAAGACAAGTAGATTCATTTTTATTTGTCTGAATTTGTCTGCACATTTAATTATTAATTGTGTTCGACGTTTTGTCAGTTTTCATCTTACACTCCCTCTCCGCCTGTCATGTAAAATTTTTATACAAAATAGACGACCATCTTTATAATTCATCGTTTTTTTTACAATATACTGTCTCAGTTGACCTCGGATATGAAGAAAATCGTATGAGTTCATTGTTGAATTCTCTGTTACTCTTAGTTTGCCTGTTTAATATAAAAATAGTGCTACCTTATAATTTGCAGTGTAGAATATTAAATAAATTAGCTAGTTATTTTCATCTGATTTTGATTTATAAAAGTTAACTGAATTAATATTCGCCGTTCATCATTGAATCTATTTATTGAGTTGGTTTTGAATTAATACTACTACTTCCATGAAAAGTACATAGTTAACTACTAATGCGGTTTGTGTTCAGTATCAATGTGTTATGTGAATAGTAACATTTAATAAAGTAATCAATAGCCAATAAATTTAATCATAGTCATGTTAAATTTTGCTTATCTTATCGACGGCATGAAATAAAAAGGGTAGTTCCTGATAACACAAGTGGATTAAGAGCTAGGGGTAGACAGATGAATATATGATAAGGATCTTTATATTTAGTGACTATTCACTTAAACTATTTTAGGATTTGTAGACCAATGTGAGTTGTGTTTTCGGGAAACCACAACACTTTGACCGAAGATGTTTTATTTCATGATCTGAAGTTACTAATAAGTGTTGCGATTGATCCCATAACAGTTATTCGATTTTACTTCATTTCAAGTTTCTTCAAAAATCTGTCCGCAATAATATCTGTCCAGGTACTTTTAACTAAGTAGCACAGATTAGACCCCTGACTGAAGTAGTTAAACCAACGATGTTTCAGAGAAGCAGAATAAGTTAATAACCACCTGGAAAAGTAGTGCCGTGTATATTACACACTGTATGGTTAATTTATACTCAGTTTGCAATCTTGAGATTGACACTATGCCTTTTACCTACATGACATTTAAAATTAACGTGTTTCAATACTATTGGTCGTGTCAATAATGATAAACCATCGGAAATGGTTAGTTTGCTTTAACCAATTTCTCTTTTTGACTCAACAAACTGAAGTTAAAATCCATTTCTTTTTATTTGAAAGTAATTGCGATGACTCATAGTTTTTATAAATACTAAACAAAACGTACGAATTTATTATGATGTTAGTAGTATATTGGTCATAATTTTCTAATATAAATAATCATAAGAAATATAAGACATGTAGTAATTGTCCTGAAATGAAGTGAAATTTGATTTATGATTGATTTCGTGTAGTTTAACAAGGCAATGAAAGAATTGGCTACATTGAAATTTATGTATATTCTTTTTACTACTACGGAGTTAGACATAGGCCATCTTCACCCTACATATATTACAAATATATTTATGAGGTGAATAACAATCTATGTTTAGAGTTTGCCGTTTATGTAAGATGGAAATTTAAAAAAGCTTTCCAACTTTTAAGGCACTATTTTGCAAATATTTTCATGTTTTTGATTATTTATGATATTGAATTTTTCAAGTTAAAAAAAGCACACACAACATCACAGTAGGCTAATAAAGCAAGATATATACTCGGAACAAAAGTATGCTACACAACTATGCTATTTTTTAATATTAACATGATCGGATAGTGAAACTAGAATGGTAACACATTATTTCCAATTAGAGTAATATCACTTGATATTATTAAAAGTGTAATCGACATAAACACATCTTATTCAGTACAGTATACTAATTCTATTTGCTTAATCATAAACAAATTGAAATCATTGATGTACTTAAGAATTGTTTCAAAGAAACAATAATTAAGAAGAACTTTTTAATACATCAGATTTGAGTAACCTTATAATAGATAGTCGTCGAATTCACAGAGGATGATGGTTAGGATTTCGTCTTGAGATTCGAAATCTAATTTTGCACAAGCATTCGAATTCACCCTAGGAAGAATGTCAAATAGCTTGTGTTAGGTTCACTATAATTTCAATAGTAATGTTAGGATAGTCGGAAAATATACCAATAATTATCGTGTTAAATCTACGGTGGCCTTGAACCTTAAATGTACATTTCTTATTGGTCGATGTTTATTTCACTTGTTAAATATTTTGTAAATGTTGTTTCCTATTTTATGGTACGATGTGGTATGCTTGATTGGTATATAAACAAAGTATGTTTGAAATATAATGATTCATAACTCAGAGGCTGTGACTTGTGCTCCTGACTCAACTGGCTGGGACAGACTGCGAAGCGGACCAATCAGGGCACTAGGTCGTCCGTACGTGTTTTCCGTGTCACTGTAATCGATCGGTCGATAAATACGCTGCTTATCAAAACCTGCAGTCACACACGTTACAACAAGTAAATTAGTGTCAGATAGAATTTCTATGTGTCGATTGATCTAAATGTTAACTGAAACGGTAAGCAACCAACAATATTCAGGATTTCAGCAGGTCCGATTTCTATTGGCTATATCAAATTGCATGAACTAGTATCTTCTAATGTCGTAAATTTGAGTATTTGTTAAAACTATCTAAAAGTCCGTGACCCCTAAATTGACTTAACTTTGTAAAGGTATAGACGTAAGTCTTATTAAACGAAACTATAATTTAATTCAAAGAGAATGTTCATCATATTGTTTAATTATTTTACTATCTATAGTCACCTAATATTCTATATTTTTCTTCAACGAAAAATTTGTTCATCTGAGTAAAAAGTACTTACTCGATTTTAGACAATTTTCAAAAGAATATGAATTAGTCTCAACAAGCTAGACTTTTACAAGATTGAAACCAACAATTTATACAATACTGTATTTGACAATCAGAACCACTCAGTTGTGTGGTTATTCTAACAAGCTACTTATTGTCACTTAGTTGGAAATAGTCTGAAAATGTTTGCATGTTATCTAGCCTTTACTTCGTAAATTTAATACATATCAAAATTCACTAACCAATCCTTGTACAGAAAATTTTGCCTGAGTGGAATGTGGAATTTTCATGCATTACACGGAACTGTATAAAGTGTACACAGTCCTCGAATGAATGAACTATGATGTTTTAAACAATTGTATATAATTTAATATTTTCATGAATAGACAAAATATCAAAAATGTGCTCTACGAAGATTTGTTCCTATGCGAAGACGACATTTACCAGTGAGAGTTGTGAATGTGTTTACTTGTAGTTTGATACTTCTTAGGAAGGCTCATCTACAACTTCATATGGAATAAAGTCTAGGAGCCTCGGATCTCGTATCCAGCAGGAAAAAGGTAAAGTAGCTTAAAAACATTTGAAAATCAGGGAGCACAAGACAGCATTAGGCTCATATTCTTCCACCTGTAAGTAAATTTGAAAGACACTCCATGACCCTTAAACTTGACATTTAAATATATAAAAAAAACTCAGGTTTTTACTTATTTCTTCACTAAGCTTAGTAATAATCTCTGATTATTGAAATATGTAATATCAGTAAAATGTGTTGCTTACTATGATAGTAAAAGTAAACAAACTGACGACGTCCAAAAAATAACTCAGTCTCCTCACCTGATGTAACTAGAAATTGTCATCATGAAATCAGTAGATTTTGATTTTTACTTTCCGATTACAAAATAACAGTTGTCTACATTTTTTCTATTCTTGAAAACCATGTCTCTTGATTCTCGACACTAGTCAATAAGGGTTATCAGTAACCATGGGT